CGTTGTGGCGCGAAGCACATTTGGAAGTCAACATGTACACACCACGCTCAGAACACTTTTGGAAGTTGAGATGTTGAAAAAGTAAACGCCGTCGTGGCGCGAAGATGCGCGAAGCACATTTCGGAGTCAAAAGTGTAAAAAACTCAGGGTACTGAGCACTTTTGGACGTTCAGATGTCGTTTTGCGTGGCAGGCGCAGGGGATTGTGCACCTTGTCAAAAGTGAGCAAAACATTGGGTTTTGTAGCAGTTTCAAAGCAGTTTCAAAAACGATAACAGGCGTGAGACATTTGAGGAGGATCTGGAAAGATGCATTTTGCGCGGCAGGCGCAGTACAAGAGACACATGAGGTAGATGTGTTAGAACATCAAAGCGGAGATTTCCTGGGAAGGGCTGCATTTTGTAGCATCAGATCGTCAGTCCTGGGAAGATGATTTTGCGTGACAGGTGCAGCACTTCGTATGACCTGGCATCACTTTTTCGTGGCAGGCGCAGTACTTTAGACAGGTGGAGTGGAAAAATCGCAAACCGCATTGGTACGAGGCCGTCAGCTCTGCACTCAACGTTCCATTTTTAAAGGATGTCTCGCAGACTTGCTTCGTTTTTGATCTTGCCAACTTGGAAAATTGAGGCAGTCTCGCAGATTTGCTTCGTTTTTGACGTTGTCAACTTCAGAAATTGAGGACGTCTCACAGAATTGCTTCGTTTTTGACGTTGTCAAGTTCAGAAAATGAGGAAGTCTCGCAGAACAGCTTCGTTTTCAAGCTTGCAGATAGACAGATAGATGGATCAAAAACTACAACTACCACTACCACTACACTACAACTACAACTATACAAGTACAAGTACAACTGCAACTACAACATCCTCTCAAGCTGCTTCCCCCCCCTGAGGGACCATTTTAGATCCCAAAAATGGTTTCTAAAATGGAATCTATATGGGGGCTCTTAGAACCCTTTTTTTTTGGCACTTATTCCGTGTTTGGGTTCTAAAATGGGCTCTGAAATGGTATCTTTCACTGTGAAAAGAATATAGAGCAAGCAATGCTGCCGGAAGCGCATTACGCTGCGCAATCGGGTCGGGTTGGATTGCTCTACAAGACCCTCTACATGCGCTCGAGCAGCATTAATCCGAGCCACTTGGCGTGCAATCAAGAAACGAAGGAGGATGGGATTCAATGTGAACATCACAAGGTCCCGATCGTAATCGCCACCCCCTATAGTGAAACACAGCCGGAGCCGATGATCGTGCAGATGCAGCAGTTGTCAGGGACCAACCAGGAGTACTTGGGAAGAGGGCATTCCCAAACCTGGATGTCTGACGGTTGCATCGCGGGAAACCGCCACACAGCGAATTTGCCAACCCAGCACTCAACATCGACGATGATGTGGCACTGGTTGGCCTGGCGTGGTTGCAAGCGGTGCAGCGAGGAGGCAAAAACATACATGGTTTAAGCTAGTGACATCGCCATGTTTCCGTTTACAACCAGGTGGTGTGGATATCAGCACCGTTCCGTTGATTGTCTCTGCACGACTGTTTCAAGGCGATGGTGGAACAAGAAGCCTTTCATGTTTGAGGCGCCGGGCATCTGAAAGGCTTGCGACTGCTGTCTTCCTTCTTCTTCTTCTTCAAATATTTCTTCCAGGTGGCCTCGCTCACCGCTGGCCCCTGCCGAGGCTTGCCCATCGGGATGTCCCCCTTTTTGTTCATATCGCCGGGGGAGCTAAGCAATCAGAAATTGGGGCCAAAGGCTGCATTGAAATCATGCCCAAACCTAATTGAAACCATACCCAAACCCCAAACCTACTTGAAATCATGCCCAAACCTAATCGAAATCATGCCCGAACCTACTTGAAACCATGCCCGAACCTACTTGAAATCATGCCCAGACCTACTTGAAATCATGCCTAAACATACTTGAAATTATGCACAAACCTACCTGAAATTGTGCCCAAACCTACTTGAAATCATGCCCAAGCCTGCTTGAAACCATGCACAAGCCTGCTTGAAATCATGCCCAAACCTACCTGACATCATGCCCAAACCTACCTGAAGTCGTGCCCGAACCTACTTGAAATCATGCCCAAACCTATTTGAAATCTTGCCCAGATCTACCTGATATCATGCCCAAACCTGCTTGAAATCGTGCCCAAACCTAATTGAAATCATGCCCAAACCTACTTGAAACCATGCCCGAACCTACTTGAAACCATGCCCGAACCTACTTGAAATCATGCCCAAACCTACTTGAAATCATGCCCAAACCTACTTGAAATCATGCCCAGACCTACTTGAAATCATGCCTAAACATACTTGAAATTATGCACAAACCTACCTGAAATCATGCCCAAACCTACTTGAAATCATGCCCAAGCCTGCTTGAAACCATGCACAAGCCTGCTTGAAATCATGCCCAAACCTACCTGACATCATGCCCAAACCTACCTGAAGTCGTGCCCAAACCTATGAGAAATCATGCCCAAACCTACTTGAAAGCATGTCCAAACCTATTTGAAATCCTGCCCAAACCTATTTTAAACCACGCCCAAACCTACTTGAAACCAAGCCCAGACGTACTTGAAGCCATGCCCAGGCCTACTTGAAATCATGCCCAAACCTACTTGAAACTGTGCCCAAACCTACTTGAAAGCATGCTACTTGAAATCATGCCCTGACCTACCTGAAATCATGCCCCAACCTACCTGAAATCATGCCCAAACCTATTTGAAATCAAGCCCAGACCTACTTGAAATCATGCCCAAACCTACTTGAAACCATGCCCAAACCTACTTGAAAGCATGCCCAAACCGACTTGAAATCATGCCCAAATCTAATTGAAATCATGCCCAAACCTGCGCATGCCCAAACCTACCTGACTCTTGCGGTCCCTCTGCTCTTTTTCTGCGCCATTCCGCGCCATTGCTTCAGTTCAGCTCAAGTGCTCTGCTTCGCCGGTCCCTTCTGCTTGTGAGTGGAGGGCTTAAAATCTTCGCTTCATATCGGGGGTCCAGCCCTTCCAACACACGCCGCACACGCGGGCGTCGTCAAAACCCGAGTTTCCGACCCAGAAGCAGCCGAGGTCCCGATGGGCCAATCGGCACGTGTCGGGTTTGTTGATGAAAAGATGGTGCTCGGTGCCCGGCGGCTCGCGCACACAGGCGCGGCAGAGGTGGACCAAGGAACGCCCACTGCTCTTGGGTCAAGGCTCCATGTCGAGCGGCGTGCAGAGTGGCACTTAACCAAGGATCCACGCAACGATGTTCCTGGGTGAGTTCCAAAAGCTGTTGGACGTTGGCTTTGTCATGCGTCCACAGCACTTTCTGCAAGGGTTCTGGAATGGTTTCCTACTTGGCCAAACATGTGAAGTACCAGCTACTGCAAGGGGAAACCATTTTGGACCATGTGTATGCTTTGGTAACTTAGATATGTTCATTTGTTGCACAGGCATTAGTCTACTTGGACAAGAACAAAAGATGACAGTTTTAGCTAACTGGATTATCCCTGACATTCATTCCCAGTTGGGGAAAGTTTCTACCTACCAATTTGCCGCTCACTTCACCTATTGGGCCCTTTCTTTCAGAGATGCTGGGCTAGACAATATTTGACCCACGCCTTTGCGGAATTAAATCCAAAAAACAACCCAAATGCATGCAAATCTCTAGCAAATGCACGTACATTTCCGACGCAGGATTTTACAGCCTCCTGTGACACAACATGCAAAAGCCACTTTACTTGTGCCTCGTGGCGGCAACAGAAGCAAACGTGCAAAAAAAAACACAAACCATGCATTGTTGCGGTGAGTGCAAAGGTAAAGGTACAGCTAATCACTTCAAAATTGAGCTGAACCCACAAGTTCTCCCAGGCAGAAATGTTCTCACAAGAGGTGAAGAAACAAACTGAACTGTGAATTTGTCAATTTTTCTACCGAGTATCTGTATATTATCCCTTCTTGGTTTTTGTGTCAAAACTGGCAAATTGCTTTCAACCACCGGCTCATGAGGGATCACAAATACCTGCACAAGACCTGCACCATACATCATCATATGAATCATATGGTATTATACAAACTTCCAAAGTTCTACAATGCTTTCGCGACCGGAAGTGCTACAATGATTTTTGTTCATTCTAGAATCCCCCGGGTTTATCCCCGGGGGGGGGGCATTCTAGAACTTTCCAACTTGAGGGTATACTACAACTACATTACACTACACTACGCTAATTACAGTACACTACATTACAACTACAACGGCAACTACAATCACTACTACTACTGCTACTGCTACTGCTACTACTACTGCTACTACTACTACTACTACTGCTACTGTTACTGTTACTGCTACTGCTGCTACTACTACTACTGCTACTACTACTACTACTGCTACTACTACTGCTACTACTACTACTACTAAAACTACAACTACACACAACACTACATTACACTAATTACATTACACTACACTGCAACTACAACTACACGACGCTACATTACCACTACAACTACACTACTTCACACACGCTACACTAAACTACGCTACACTACACGATGCTACACTACGTTACACTACACTACACAACACTACACTACATTACACTACACTACTTTACAACTACAACTACAACTACACTGATTACGCTACACTACAACTACAACTCCACTACACTACAACTGCAACTACAACTGGACTACACCACACTACATCCAGCAGTTGTGGGTGAGGTGACCACTGCAACCACTGCAACCACCGCAACCACTCCAAAAAACACAACTCCAACCACCTTTCGGTCCATCAGTGGATTCGCTCTGCCATCCGTGATTCACAACAACTCACCTCTCCTATAGGTTTCCTATTTTTGAAACTTCCGCCACCGCCTTGTGTGGTACTACTGGTACAATTAATGTATATGAATGTAGTAAATATCGCGGTTTTGCTCAACTCATCATATGTATCGTTTTTGACCCCCCGCTTAAAACGTCCATTAAAAAACTCATCCCGTTCTGCGCCTTGCCAACAGTGATTCGTCTGGCAGAACCTGGGTGGAACCATGTAAGATCATGCCCAAGCTTAGATAGTAACTGCAACAAATACATATATATATACATACTTGATCATATGGGGGTTTCCATAAGTGAGGTTCCCATTGACCCTCCAGAAAAAAAATATGAACTTTTGACGTGCTGAAGTTGGTTGGTCATTTGTTGCTTGAAACATGGACTGTTAAAAAATCTACCGGTCATGGGCACAACAAAAATGGAGGCCCAACGAGGGATGAACATCCAAATTCCTCGAGATTCTGGCTGGTTTGGACGTGGCTCTTGGGTGATAATCTAAAGCCCAGGACGGCTTTGTACAGCGGAGAAAACTAGACCCCAAAAGCATCTGAAAAAGGGGGCAGGTCGAAGTTGGGGGGTCAAAAACATCACCCAAAAACCATAACTGGGTGATTGTTTAACCAAAAAGATCCTCGTCATCTCTCGATGGTCCAGCATGCCATTAGGATCCATTAGGCATACAGTAACATGCTGCAGCTCATACCACTCAGAAAAAAAATCGGTTTGAAAAAAACAAACTATACCTGAAACATGGATAAACATGGGATTTTTGAACCAAAAAAAAGGCACCGGCCCAAACATCAGGGAATTCCAATATTCCAAACCGAGGCACCAAAGTCTTCTGCAGTGACACTCTCCAACTTTCTGCCAAGATCATCGGTAATGTACCTCCAAGCAGCAAAAGTTGGGACGTTTCTTTGGCCTTGCGGCCTCACCCTGGAGGAAGATCAAGATATCATGGGTCTGAAAATGGGACAAAATCACATGGTCACATGGTATGACCCAAAGTTATTCGAGAAAATGATTAGACAAACAAAACCATATTATAACCCATGAAAAGTAATTGTAACATTATAACCCATTAATATGATTACCCTAGAATAATCTGGCCCCCTGATATTGACCACCCTAAAAACATGGGGGTTTTGTGTTGGATGTACTCATGACTTGGCCGGCCAGTTGAGAGAATTAGTAAATAGAATATGTACATTAAAACAAAAACATTGCAATATGTGTTGAAGATCTCACATTCTATCTACTTCAGACTGACTATAATATATATATAGATATAATATATGTATATTAATATCTATCTATATATCTATCTATCTAATCTAGTCTAATCCAATCCAGTCCAATCCAATCTAATCTAATCCAATCCAATCCAATCCAATCCAATCTAATCTAATCTATCTATATCCATTTCAGGAAATATATTGAAGTCTGATTTTTTGATGTTTGAACCAACCACTTGACCTTTACCTTCCCGAACCGCGCACGTGGCACTGGTCACCAAGGCGATGTCCTTCGGACAGCCGCGGCCAGAGGTGGCATGGGTTTTTTTGTGGCCAGAGGTGAAAGAACATGGGTAACTAATTATAACTGTTGTATACTTGTTCTAAAAAAAAACATGGATTTACGGTTTACTTAGCTACAATGTGAGGCCCCCGTTCGATAGCGTTCAGTTGGTGAACATAACTCCAATAACTATGGTTTATAGTACTTATAACTATAGTTACTGGGGCTTATGAACCAACTTATAACTGGGGGGCCTCACATTGTATATTATGGTATATTGGGGATGATCATCCATGAACTGGGAATTCCTGAATTCCTCACATTCCATCTTGTTCCCGAAAATTCGAGCAATTCACTCGCCTGAGCCAAGTCGGTGGTGATTCCCCAGCATAATTCCAGACCAACGGAGATGAACATTGGCGTTGCAAAAAAAATGTGTTTCATCGGGAAAACAATGGAATTCTATGGAAAATTATTCCATCCGTCCTGCTTTATGGAAAAAAAACATGACATGTTGCGAAATATGCAGGCATCATTTTTTGGCAAGAAATGCGAGCTTTCCTGTTCAGTTTCCGCTCAACCAATTCTCACATACACTCCAGATGGTCGTGTCTGCAAAAGGAGGACACAAGAAAATATTGCAATGTTTACTGTTAAAAACTTGATAATCAAACATGCACAACTACTTCGTAATAACCGACTAGCTAGTATTATGAGGCCAACGGGAACAGAGAAAGTTGATTTTAGCCAAACATTGGAAGAATCACCAGGAAAGGCTAAAAACAAGAAACAACCAAATATATATATATATATATACATATACACATGTATAAATAAAAACTATATATGTTCCAAAGATTTTGTTGGTTTCTTTTTTTCTCGGTTTTAAGGTTTGTTTTTTGGGTTTGGAATGTGCCACTTGGTAGAGATGTTCCGAACTGCAGTTGGACAGCCGGTCGCTCAGGTGTTTTTTAATGGACGATTCCGCCAAGGAGAAGGAGCTACCACTTGATCTGGTTGGTGGTTTTTAACCATCTTGAAAAATATTAGTCAGTTGGGATATTATTCCCAATATAAGGAAGAATAAAAAATGTTCCAAACCACCAACCAGACTTGATTGGTGAGATGTTGAGTGTTGATATAAATGGCAATTTTGGTAAGAAAATGAGATTTGAATCCGTGAAGTTGGCGGATTGACAGATTGACCATCATTTGATGAGGATATCATGGTGATATGATGTGATTCGAATGGGAAACAATGGGGATTATCATCATCCAACCATGGATTTGTCATGTGTTTAGATTTCCCACTTTCAGACAAACACGTGCCGGTACACAGGGGTCTCCTGTAAAATGGCTTTCCGATTGTCTCCGAAGCCAGGCGCCTGAACAGCACCTGAGGTTTTTTGCAACAGGTTTCTACGATAGCGAAGTTGACACACATCACCGTGGTTACGGTTTGGGTTTATGATGAGGAATTAACTCTAGTTAGTGGGGTTTACAAATAGACCATTAATGGACCTGTAAAAATGGGGGGCCTCACCTTGTATGTTTGAAGGGGATTTGATTTATTGTTTGTGCTTGGCTCGAAAAAACACAAACAAAAAAACACAACTAAACATCTGGATTCATTCACCATTTAGTTTGGTGTCTAGAGCACCCTCAGAGGATCTTGATTCAGCCAAAAAATGCATCAAATTTAGAGATCTAGTCGTTGATCCGACAAACAAATACGGCCCGGTCAGGATGGTGTTTTCACGGTCTGTGGAGTTTTAACTGATAAAGTCACTTCGGTAATTGACCAATGGGGATCTAAGCACCAACTATGGGATTTAAGCACCAAAAGTCCGTCACTGCGAGCACGACGCCTTCACTGGGCGTAATGAGCACATAATATGGGGATAAAAAAAGTTGGGTGATCGTTAGAATTTCCGAAAAAGGCGTTCAACTACCGGTCCCAGGGTAGGATTCTTTAAGTGATGCTTGGTTCAAAAACAAGAATCAACCAACACATGTCATGGTGACTATGGTGGCGTAACCGAGTTTGCGGTGTTCAAAGATTACCCCCAGAATGGACCTCTTTGTGCTTTGAAGAGTCAAAATCAGTTGCTGTAACCACAATATCAAAACATATCAAGTACCAACGTAATCGGAAGTAGTACTGTCAAAAATCCAAAAGAACAATACAGAATACTCGAATAGGGACGTCTGCTGGTTCGCGTTGAGTCTTGACAGCTATCTCATCAACACTGATGGAACAGGCTGCAATAGGTTTCCAGGGCCCAGTTCGTATCATATCCAGTCTTACATGTCCTGTCGCTGGTTATTTGAAAGCATTCCAGGCAAATCATGCCGTGGTGGTTGAGTCGTTGGCAAATCATTCCGGTTCTGGAATCCTGACATCCAAAAACATGTTCAACAAACATGAAGTGTGCATTTCTCAAATAATTTACTGCAGATTGGATTGGTTTAGATTTGATTAAGATTAGATTTAGATTAGATTAGACTAGATTTGATTAAATAGGTATATAGATACGTAGGTAGGTAGATAGATCGATAGATAGAGTAGAATAGAGCAGATAGAGTGGATAGAGTAGATTTGATTTGATTTGAATTAGATTTGAATTACATTAAATACATTAGATAGACTGCACATGAGGAAACATACATGCACACATCCCAAACATGTCTTGATATGCAAAAGTCCATCCAATTCCCAGGAGGATCCTGGAAAAGTGGTCTGAGGTCTGGATAACACGTTGATAAAACACATTGCTTGAAAGGTTAAGTATCTATATCTATATATATATATACCTATATCTATCTATCTATATATCTATCTATCTAATCTAATCTAATCTAATCTAATCTATCTATCTATCTATCTATCTGTATATAATTAATATACAATACCCTCTGGCAATTAAACATAACTATTGAGAATTGCCATGTATGGTTGATTTACCTTTTAACAATTGTGATTTTCCATAGTTATGTGGCTGTTTACCAGAGGGTAAGATACATATTAAAAGAAGCAATGTGATCATTGGTGAATGCATTGGTTTACCGGACTCAGCGGACAAAAATGGGAGTCATCATGCTTATCGTATCGCGTTATGCCAAAAACATTTGCAGAAGGCTACTATATATCTGGTTGGTGGTTTCAACCCCTCTGAAAAATATTAAAGTCAGTTGGGATGATGAAATTCCCAACTGAATGGAAAAATAAAATTCATGTTCCAAACCACCAACCAGATATATTCCATGTTTAAGTAGATAGATTGTAAGAGTGCCCAGATGATGACTGGATCTTTGAACTTTGGTGAACAAGTCTTCGGTAACTAAGACTACTTTGCCTTGCCGTTCCACTTTAGTGGTCATAGCTCCCAGCTTATGGGGGTTAGAATCCCGCAGTTTATACCCTCTGGTAAACTGATATTACTATGGAAAATCACCAAACCAACATGGGTATATATACAACTAACTATAAATAGCCAGGTTCAATAGCAAGCTCTTAGTTTACCAGAGAGTATCCCATGTTATTCCAGCCCTGCAAGCCCAACACAAACAGGCCAAGGGACAGCAATCAACAATTCCTCGGATCTTGTTCACGATCAGCGTCGCCAGGACCTGGAGACATTTTCTTCGCGATTTCACGGAGATACCCCAATAGCTGGATGGTTTGTCTATGGGAACATCCTACTCAAATGGCTGAGACCTGGGGGTAAGGCCCATTTCAGGAACCCCAAAATGGATGATCAACGATATGAAAAACAGGGGCAAATCGCTGATGCTCAGAAAAGACAAAATGTAGATCTGTGTCGATCTAGATTTTATATATGGAAAACTAGATAATACTAGATACAAATCAGTTGACCCTCAAAGTACCATGTTTAAAAAAAAACTGGGTAAGAGTACAAAGGTTGGAGCAGCTTTAATGAGAACTCAGAGGCGAAAAGAAACGCTCTATAACTACACACCATGAATTGCAAGTGTTTATATATATATATATATGTATCCATACAGTCCATACACATACATATATAAAACTACACACATATCCATACACATCTCTTATGCCCAACACCATGGGAACTTCAATCCAGTATCACCATCAGCGGGGTGAATCACACCGGGCTTTTTGATGGATTGATAGACAAACAGAGATAGAGAAATAAACATACATAGAACATGTATAATCATGTATATGTAATCCCTATATAGTATAATGATATATATTATATTATATAATGTACAAAAACTGGCGTATACATATATATATATACATACATGATATTCCCATGTTGTTTGCCACCTTCAACCAGGAGACAGGTCTCTGTCTTCCGCGCCTCCTTTTCGATGGACTCGGCAATGATCAGAAGTGGCTTTGACATCTGCTTCGCAAGGGTCAGGATGGGAATCAGCTCCTAGGGCAGTTCAAAACACCGGACCTTCGCTAGTTGGTGGTTTCGATCCCTCTGAAAAATGATGGAGTTCGTCAGATTGGATCACCATCCCAGCTATTGGGGAAGTCATAAAATTCCATGGTTCCAGTCACCACCAAGCAGTGGACCGAGTTGCACTGGCCGAAGAAAAATCACCACCCAGTGGACCCATGGATTTTTGGGTCGTCCTGTTGAGCCATCGAGATCTTCTGGTCAGTCACCAGAACCAGCGGGTTGTTCCTGTGAGCAGAACTGAGAAGTTTTTCGGGAACTGAGATAGTTCCAGGGGGATTACTAGGAGATTCCCCAACCAAGATGGTTGGTAACTGGGAAGGAAATGATGGTTGGTTTCTTGTTCATTTCACCTCTTACTGATATATCTGTAGCTCCATGGAAAATGACTGGAAACTGGCCTGGGATATTTTTTTTTTTAAGCAGGACAATTGATTATTAACTGGAGGATTTCACAACTATCAGGGTATGTCCTGTCCTAAGTGTAATGATGCGTTTCTAACCATTTACTTACTAGTTCCCTTGGGATATTACTGGAATGATTCCTCAATTACAAACCATTTACCGTACCAAACCATTTACTGTCATTACTAATCCCAGTTCTACTTAATAGGGATAACCATCCACTGAATAGTTCATCAGCGGAAGGAAAGGTGACATTGTTGCCTAGTAGTTTCCACTATCAATACCATCGTGAATAGTAATTCCACTGGTGACTAAGCTAGTAAATTGTCAATTATCCACTTGAAACATAAGGAAAGCCATAATTTGGGGGGTTCCGGGGTTCCGTAAATGGGGGTATACCAATAGCTGCTGGATGCTTAAAAAATGGAGGATTTTCGGCATGATTTGGGCTTCGTATGCAAAAAAAACAGACGATCTATCTTTATAATTGTTTATGTAGGTTAGGTATTGATATCATCAATATTCACTAATTAATCTAAATGTAAATTAGGAATTTACCAATTTATATCATTGATGATTATTCTATGGTGTTGTAAACTAGGTATCTATATCTATATTATATATATATATATCATATACCCTCTGGTAAACTAACATAACTATGAAAAATCACCATGTTCAATGGGTAAATTCCACGATTTCTGCCATTTTCAATAGCTATTTGACATAACCAGGTTGGGTATATCCGAAATTTTCCCATGGTTTTCCCATGGTTTTCCTATGGTTTTCCCATGAGATCCATGGTCACCTCCCGGAGATCCCGAGTCCCCGAGCGATTCCCAGACTCTTCGCGTGGGATTCGCCGCATCGAGGCAGAGGTAAGGAGAAAGATATCCCTGGTGGGTTTCTCGCCAACTGGTGGAGAGTATACATATATAGTATACATGATATAGATATGAACAAATTTGTAATATATAAGTATACATATATATATATATTGTTGCATATGTATATATATATATATATGTATATGTGTACAGTATATAACATTATATGTATACATGTATGTATACACATAATTATACATAATATGTCATGTGTTTTAATCAATCCATAAGCTGAAGCCGTCTTTCTGAACAGCATGGTCCTCCAGGCAAACCGCCATAGTGCATGGTCAAGTGACGATTCAACCAAAATGTAGGAGTTGATTTATCCATAAAAACGGTGGTTTTTAACAATCAATATGATAATTCATGATGAATACAGAAATAAATGGGAATATCATGTGGATAAAGCCATTGTGTATGTGTTTTTCTTCTTATGGGCATCTCTTGCATACTAAAAAAACATGGGTATAGAAATCCCTCTTCCCGGATTGAGGATCCTCTTTTAAAAACTGGGCAATGCGCCGCGCAGTTTTGAACAAGCCACATATTGTACCTCCAACATGACGCAGAAGAGGAAGGCAATTCATGGTATCTCACCCGACTGTTTACGTTTTGCTGTGGCATAAATGCACCAAAAAACCTAGCAAACTCATTTTCACAACAAAAAAACTGTTGGTTGGATGTTCATTCGCATCATTCCCCAAGGTGGGAACACTGCAGCTGGCCCTGACCTACATTTTCACTGACCAGTTCTTTCCCACAGAAAACAGGGCTCCAAACACCCGAGGTACCCGCTGGGAATTTGCCACCAGCAATGGCTATCATTTATCTACAATGGATGGGAGCAACCCTGAAGATGATCCTCTTTTGATGGAATAGATAGTCTGGTAAATTGACATCATTAGACCCTGAAAACAAGCCATATTTTCAGTAGAAACTCATCTTCCAACCCCGATGACTGCCAGGGTCGAACTGTTCATTTACTGGAGGGTATAGTCTGTGTTCATCTCCCGTTCAGTTTCATGTGGAATCCGGACCGGATCTCCAGTGCCTTTCTGAACCAGCCCAGGTAGATGAAATGAGCACATTAATAAAACCACCATAATGAAAAAAAATAAATGTAAATATAATAATAGTATATGATATACATAGTAAATGTTCATTTAGGTAGATTATGATAATGAAAATATGCGATAATGTAAATATGTAATGTACAAATATAATGGATATATATATATATATGTATGTATATATATATGTATGTATATATATATATACGTCAACATACCAACAATAAGTATAGGATAATATATTCAACAAAACATACACAAAAAACAAGAATGTCTTTAACCCACTAAACTTTGTAGATTGTTTGTAGGATAAACCAAACACCGGCCCGGTAGCACCTTGTCTAAATTCATGCCTTCTGTCAACTCCACTTCAGTGTCCGTGGACTGTGACCTGATCAGCCGAAATGTCTTCATGTTCACCAAGGTTTCCTTGATCAATCAGTTCCTTTTTTCAGGGGTTGCGAAGTTTCCTAATTTGTCACGTCAAAAAAGCAACTGAACGACCTTGAATGTATTTCAAAGTCAAAGTGATGATGAAAAAAAACAGAACCGGACATGTTCCACGTGAGAACCGCTCATTCAAATCAGGGTTATCGGTTTTACTACGGTATCTCGGTATCTCCTTAGATATTACTGAAGTACATCAGTATATACATATTATATATATACACATATGTATATGTATGTATATATATATACACAGTATATACATACATGTGTATATATATATATATATACATATGTATATATATATATGCATGCATGTATATATAGAGTATATATACAGTGTATATATATATATATATATGTATATTATTTGTACATATCTAATGGAATTGTTTATTTCCTGCTACCTGAAATCCCATCCTGATTAGCAGCGGGGAACTATGAATATCACTATGGTGTAATTCACAATCTAGTTATGAGATTATGTTAATTGGACTAATATCTATTGAACATCATTGAACAATAAGTCCAATCCAACAACATTCAGATAACCTTTACCTGGATTCTAAGTGATTATAAGTGGACCACAATTCATAAATGATATAAAACTGGTTGGTGGTTTCAACCCCTCTGAAAAATGATGGAGTGCGTCAGTTGGGATTATGAAATTCCCAATTGAATGGAAAAAATCCAAGCCATGTTCCAAACCACCAACCAGATATAGTCCATTTTTAAGTAGATAGATTGAAAGAGTGCCCAGATGATGACTGGATCTTTGAACTTTGGTGAACAAGTCTTCGGTAACTAAGCCTACTTTGTTTTTATTTTGAGATCCGAAAGTAAGCCTCATCTAAGTGATATCAACATCTACCATCTGGTTATTTGTTACATGGCCATGGACAATCACCATTTGTAATAGGTAAACCATCTATAAATGGGCCATCTATACATGGCTATGTTAAATATCAACATCTAAATCATTCAACACACCCAGGCGGGTCTGGTGGATCCGGCTCTTCTAAGGAGATCACACCACTGCCACCCACCTCACATGGCCGACTGGCTGGCTCCACTTGTCTTCCAGGGCTTTGGGTATCCCCCAAAAACACGGAAGTAAAATTGTAAAATCTTACGAATTATGGATAAATCATGAGAAATCAAGTAAAATCTTACTATATAGATAGCTTGAGAACAACAAACTTAGAAAATAGATAACAACTTGGCTCGGACCCCATCTCGCGAGTCCACTTGATCTTAAATCTTGATCCCTATATTTTGAATTTATATGAATTTACCCAAAAAAATGGAAAATCACTTTCCCAATCACTAATTTTAGACTTCCATGTGAAGGCTTTGGGGCAGCTACTTTTGACATAATATATATATATATATCAATGATGTACTCTTTTTTTAGTGATGCCAAGATTCTGACCCAAACTACTCTAGACATGATGCAGGAACTTGGAGATTGTGAACGTTGTCGGAAACCATCTGAAAGATCACAACGTTCACAGTATCGCGTACATCTTCCGTAAAATGAAGGAACACAAGCACATGCCCAAAACCACTAGACTTCCCATGTTTGAATATCAATCACTGGTTAATCGTTTTCCTTTGGGGGCATGTAAAATGATCCAAATAATGCAGGGAAGTTTCACCAATGCCAATGCACCCCAGTGATTTATGAAGTTGGACTCCATGGTTCAATAACAACGTATTTGTAGAGCAACAGTAATGTTGTAAAAACCATGTAAAATCAATATCAACAGAAATGTGTGGCATACACTCTCCAATGTTGTGGTTTATGAACTTGGGTTTACTATTGACTCAAAACTTTGGGAATCTCCAAGTTCGATTTCAACTGCTAATTGGGTGTGACTCAAGTTATAGACTACCCTAGGAAATGATATGGAACATACTGTACTACAATCATCTACCATACTTTTTCATGGTGGTGTCAAATAATGGTTTTCCGTATCTACCTTTACCATCCTAAACACCTCATTTTAGTGGCACATGTCACAGGAAAGTCCCAAAATCCGATGGCGTATCCTCTGGCCTATTCGTTTATGGCATCGTGGTTGGTGGTTGACCTACCCCTCTGAAAAATGATGGACGAATCGTCAGTTGGGATCATTATTCCATTCCCAACTGTTTCTGGAAAGTCTAATCAAATTCCATGGTTCCAGTCACCACCAATCAGCATCGAATATCTCAAATGGGGTAGACCCGTATACCCAATAAATACCCAATAAATCGAGAAAAAATCAGGCTGATTGCCTTTTCCATGGCGTCAGCGATCATTTGGCCAGCCTGCATATCCCGGGGAAATGGTGTACCTGGATGTATCTAGTTGGTGGTGCAATGTCTGTGCCCATCTTGAAAAATATGAGTTCGTCAATGGGAAGGATGACATCCCATATATGAAATGGAAAATAAAAAATGTTTGAAACCACCAACCAGTATATATATATGATGATCGTGTTCATTGTGGCAGTGTTCAGATTCCCTGCACGGGTATTTCTCTTGGAGCTGGATATGTTTGATTAAAAACCGGGTTCCTTCAATGACATTGTTTTTTGTACCTCCGCTTGGGAAGGTCAAAGTTTTATGTGTTTTGCCAGCCATTTGCACCGACGTGTATAGAACCAACAAGTAACGGGATTTGATCGATGGCAACTGGAAATGCAAACAGTACTTAAATATACTTACCCTCTGGTAATTTAACATAGCTATTGAAAATTGCCATAGAAATAGTTGATTTACCTATTAAACATGGTGATTTTCCACAGTTATGTTAGGTTACCAGAGGGTAAATAAAGTTGGGAAAACATGGGCTATGGACCATATGGATCATCCATGATCATCCCATCTCGGGAATTGGGGAATTGACCCAGTGGTGGCAGATGATAACCTCCGGTAAACGTTTACATAACCATGGAAAAACATGATGCTATGAAAATATGGGTAAATGCACTATAAATCTATTTCGACTGGGCCATGGCTTCAATAGCTATGTTAGTATGTTTACCAGAGGGTACATGGAATTATGGAATTTGGGCACAATGATCACAATGGCAAATCAGAATGGGTTGAAATGGAATTGATTAGGATGTTTCAAATGGTTTGGAGGAAAGAGAATATCCACACACACACACACTATATTAAGATAGTTAAATTGGTTCTAAATCGAATGTCACTATTTTAACATGTTATAAGTTATGACATCAGTTAATTCTTTTGTTAATACTATATAGGTTATAACTGGTTTAATAACTTCTAATTTCATGATGATTTCATAATGTTTGGATACAACTGTTGGCTTTTTTCCCGCCTCGTCATCGCCGCCCGCAGAGATGGAGCCAACCTGGTCATGACTAACATAGCCATGGAAAGATCCACCATTTTTAGTAGGTAAACCATCTATAAATGAACCATTTTCCATGGCTATGTGAAATAACCAGAGGGTATATCCCAGATGCTCCATGGTGCTGGAATATTTACCTACATTTACCCCAAACATGGCCCATATGTAGGAAAGTATTCCATACATGGAGCATCTGGGTATGAAATGCATTGAATGATTGAAGCATATACGACTTCTGTGATTGGTCTTCAACTCAACCAACTGCTTTTATTGTACACTTTCGACTTGTGCCCTGTGAAACATCGATTCCACCAAGAAAAGTGGGGCTTGAAGCAACAGCATTGGTGTTTGAACCAACCAGCACTAGCTCCGACAGCAAACCTCATCTTTTTGAGCCCTCAACCCCAAAAATCAGTGGGATAAGCGGACATAAGTGGGATACAGAAAGTTCAAGTTCCTTCATAGACATCTTGGACAAATGATGACACATGATGGCACATGATGGCACATCCACGCATTCACCAGTAGTTCACCAGGTCCATCTGTGAAGTCTTAGGGACCCTTAACTTAAGGCCCACAACAGGCCCCAGGAGGGCTTAACATTGAAAATCGCGGCTATCAACCACCGGGGCCACTAGAAATCTATGGTATCTGTAAGCCCCGCAATGGGGATGACCAAAAAACGTGCCCTGCCTGTTTGATCTTTTGCATGTCCGTATCGCTCACAGGCACAGCCTCAATGCTAATATCGTCTGTTCGTTAAAGTGCTACCACGGTGACAACCTGACCTTCAGATACTACGCCCCGCAATGGGGGGTTCAACAGGGTGATACAATGTGATACCATGTGATAATGTGATACCATGTGATACCATGTGATACCATGTGATACCATGTGATACCATGTGATACCTAGAACCCCAAAGCAACAACTGCCTCCATCGGCGCCGCAGGTTCTGGGTTACGATTATCCAGGCAGGCTGTTGACTTCATTTCAATCGCTAGATTTGAGGATAAAACCTGTAGGAAACTGTAACTATGTTTTATTCAAACACTCAAATACAATATATATATATCATATATAATATTTCACTAACCTGAATAGTTCGGCCATTTGGGGATGATTTCCCTATAAAAACCATGATTCCAATGAGGGAGAACAGTGAGGTCGTTATAATTTACCCACATATATATGTATATAGGATTTACCTGCCAAACTTACACGAAAAACCAATGGGATGATGACTGACCCATGAACTCGTCAACGTTTCAAGGTCGGCGCAATCTCTTCAATTCTCTGCACTATGTAGCCGGCTGCCTGGCACTGCCAGCAACTTAGAGTTCTGAAAAGGTTTGGTTAAGTTTTTTCTCCTTGAAAAGGAAGGGTCTAACATGATCTAAGTAAGATACCAAATATATCCAAATATCATCCTGAAATCCATCTATGACATTCAAGTGTACCATGTCTAAATCGATATGCAGCAAAACAACCAACAAAACTAACAGCATGCTATGCCATACATGGATAAACATGGATGAAATGGGCTTGGAATGGGACAAAATCAAGGGGAATGAATTCAATGCAGGCTCCAGATGCGTCAAACAGATCTGGGTATGTACAAGCCCTTCCAATTTCAAGTCCACCATCGCCACCACCATGTCCATCTGAGCCAAGGCAAAAGAAAGCTAAAGAGGGAACATTGAATGGTGTGTATATTTATGACATAGACAAATAATTATGTATCTATCAACCAAACCCTGTGCCATACATGGATAAACATCAAAATCCATAAATAAACAAATAATCCCATACTTACCCTCTGGTAAACTAACATAGCTATTGAAATTCCCATTTATAGTTGAATTACCCATAAGAAAATGGTGAGAGTGCATTAGCCTGGCGAGATCGAACACAGTGATCCTAAATGATTCGTACTTTGGTGGCTAAGTCAGAATTGCTTGGCCCCGAACCATTTCCATATGCTCCAAGTATGGTATAATATGTACCAAGATTTGTGTGGTTTTGGGTACCGGTGGGTAGAAAAAAGTGTACAAATGTGTGCAGAACATGTGTGCCATGGTGAAAGTCACAGCTTTTTCTGGTTGTTGGTTTCAATTCCTCTGAACAAATATGAGTTCGTCAGTTGAGATGATAAAATTCCCAACTGCATGGAAAGTCATAAAATTCCATGGTTCCAGTCACCACCAATCAGCAGATCACTATATAGAAAATCCACCCATTTTCAATAGGTAAACCATCTTTTTAAATGGGACATGGCTTCCATAGGAATGTCATTAATCACCATTAACCAACATCATTAAGCATTATATTATCCATGATTAACCATCATTAACCATCATTTTCAATAGGTAAACCATCTATAAATGGGAATGAAATCCCTATGTATTGATGACCATCCCCCAGGTGGCTTCTCTCCGGCCGTCCACGTACGTAAAGCGACAGGCTAGGCTATACCGGTAGGACCAGCTTCACATTAGTCTATTTTAATAGGGAACATAGTGATGAAGCAACGGATTTTTGGGGTGTACAACATGATGATCTATATATATATATAATATCAACATATATTATATATATATATCAATTTAGGTCATGTACTGTATATATAATATTAATATATATTATTTATCAATTTAGGTGAAGTGATATTATATAAATTTCTATCATACATCCTATGTTCATCCTTAAGTTGTACAAAGCTTTGCCTTCTCCATTCCCAGCTTCACTTGCACAGGGTTGGCACCACCCACCTGGAAAATCATACGGAACAACGGACCATCGCGACGTTTCGAGAGGGACATCTATCTATTAAATGCTATGGATATAGATGAGCGTTGCTACGAGGATGGATTGCGAACTGCGAACCTAAAGGTTCATTTTTGTTCGCCAACCATGTGGTAAATTATGATCCCTTTTACAAGTCAACAGAACGCCTATCTAAAAACAGGCTAAACGGACACGGCTCTGTGGGATTTTAAACCAGAAAACCATAGTTACTATATATAGAAGTGAAGTGGGTGTTATAATGATATATATATATATTACTAGTGAAGTGACCCACCATAATATCATAATTTATCACTAGTGAAGTGAATGGTGATGTAATTATATATATTATAACAATAGTCAATCACCATAGTGATGATATCAATTGATATCATGTAACGAAATACTTTATAATCACCATACAGCCTAGTTACACTCGATATACACAATCATAATAATTTAGTTATGGAGCAAATTAAGTAACGAACTGGGGCAACACCTTTTGGACATCTTTGGGGCTTCCATCTCCAAGTTTTGGTTTGTCATCCAATTTTACCAATGAGAAGTGAGACAAACTTACAGATACAGTTACCAAAGACAATCCAAAGACTACAAATTTTGGACAATGAGTTTGGTATTCAATTGAGACAAACTATTGGTATGCAAACCAGCTACCAAACTTATAGACTCATGTTTTCCCTCCTGAGTTCATCAAACGGGTACCTCAATCCGCATAGAGTCCCATGGCAGTGGTCGCAATGGGGCTCAGCAAGGTCAGCTGGTCCACATCCAAACCATACCTATCCTAAATCTCATATGGGGATGGTTAACTATGAAAATCTATGAAATTAGCAAATGACTGGGAAGAGTTTCTTCCAGCTATACCAGCTACTTTTTGATCTTTTTGGGGTACCTAGAGTCCCAGCATTTTTTGACTCATAGCCATATCAAAGCCATTCTTACTGGTGCTCAAATTTCCATCTGTGGGGTCTACGTTCTGCTTCTTAATGCCTTGGTTCACCCCACTAAGTGGTGAACTGTTCACCCCGGTTACTGGACATTTCCCCCTACTGAACCCTACTGGAAGAACTTAAGGATGACACCAAACCACTACTTGGATGTGCGGGTCCAAACGGATCCTTAAGGTGTATGTCATCGATTAATCATGATTAATCATGATTAATCCAAGCCATATTCCATCGATTCCATCCCATAAATCTAGGAATCCATTTACTAAGAATCCAACCCATATTCCCATAATCCAACCCATATCCATCCCATAAATGGGCATATTCAATTCATCTAAGTGTTTTTTGTTGACCCATGAACCTAGCTCGAAATGTGGGGCCCCAAGATCCCCCCCGATCCCCCGAGGTAGCTGCCAGCTGCTTCATGCCACTCTTGACCATGGCGTGCGCCAAAATGGTTGCCGTCCTAGGCGATACCCAGATGCTGGTGCTGGAATATTTACAAACTGGGCCATTTTTGGGGCTTCTATGTAGGTAAATGTTTCATACATGGAGCATCTGGGATGGATACAGTGCTTTGATGGGTCATGGACTTTGTTAACTAGTTAGTAAATGGATTATTTCATTGCGATATAGGGTGTTAATGGGCCCCAATTACTAACCAGGAATCACTAATCCTATGGCCACATGATACAGTCTTTGAAAGTTCCTGGGATTTAATGGGAATTGGGGGCTTCACATTGCGTGATGGCAATTTGAGGGAATCCCTTGAAATGATGTGAAATTCGGATACCCTTCATATGATATGTTTTCTTCATACCCCTTTCGGAAAATATTTTTGAGAATCAAGTTTTTGTTGCTCGGGGCAGAGTCATGGGAGTTATGAAGCGCCCACAGCAATCTGACCAGAATCGGAAGTTCCCGCGGCTCGAAAAGCCTGCTCCGTGCCATGTATCCTTTCTCAAATCTTGGTTCAAATACTTGAGACATCTTGAGCCGATCCAACCTCTACATGATACATGAGATACCCTCCGGTAAACTGAAAATCACCATTTTTCATGGGAAAATCCACTATTAATGGTCATTTTCAATAGCTATGTTAGTCATTACCAGAGGGTATCTATCGAACTCTGCCATCCCCAGCGCCCCACTGGGTGCCCCCGGACGTGGTCCCATCTCCAGCGACCTCGTTGGTCTTGGCGGAGGCTTGACGGATCAGCTGAACCCCGGTGTTTTCCACCTGGGAGGGGATGGGATGGGATGATGGGATGCAGATCGACTGGAGGAAGGGAAGGTTTGGTGATTTTTTGTTCCCCGGATCAAGAAAAAACAACGAGTTTTTGTCAAAATTAAGTGATAATTTAAAGCATTTGATGACGATCTTCACCCATACCTTGAGAATTTGATGATAGATTCAGAGTGAAGCGATACATGACACGACCCCCAAAACTCGCCAGGGGACTTGATCTTCCAGTTCGATTTCCTTTGCAATCGTCACACCTCAGCTGATTCTGCACCATGACCCACCGGTGATGAATGAAATGGGTCGAAGATCAAGACATGTCAAGACCCTAACGATCCTAACACTTAGAACATGTTAGAAATATGAAATCCCCAAATGGACTACACGGTCTTATCTTGCAAGTTCCCGCAGCAGCCTGGTTCTGATTTATATTCAAATCATTGTTCATTGTATGTTCATTTTGTGTCATTCCGAAAATTTGTTCTGTTTTCATGGTGTTTTTCCTTTTTTATTAGGTTCTTTCTTTTGGCTATCATTTTGAACAGTGTTTTTTTTGGGAATCTTGGTATTTTGAAAAATCTTTGGAATCTTGAGATAAGACTCGCATCCCATTGTCTATTCATGGCAGATCTTAGATGTAGCTTTGCCCAGGTGTTCTCTCCGAAATTCAGCTTCGGACCATCGTTCACAATCTGTGGAGCGGAAAATTCGCCCTGTCTTGCTGCCCGGTGGTGATGTTTTCTAAGGACTCACCACAATATCTGCAAGCTCGCCATGTCACACCACAATAGCCAAAACATAAATGGATATGTTCGTAGGTGTTCAAACCACTAAAACACATGAGAAATAGCAAGGGGGAAAAGGTCACTATCTCGTGTCAACATTCAAAGTTTTTCCCGTGTGGGTAATCAGACATGCCTCCAACATGTGGAACTTTTGTCAAACATCTGGATTCAACCCAAATATAAGAAATGTTCGAAACACCAAGCTTGTGGAGTATTTGATAATATATATATATATATATTATGGTCATCAACTGAGTTGTCAAGTCGTCAACGACTTTACTTATTTCATCATAGTTCTTGGATGTTCTTGGGATCTCCAGCTGATCATTGTATCATGTGCCATTCCATCGTAGATCCCATGAATGGTGTTGGCCCTTTAGTTGACGTTTAAATCGCCACATCATGGTGAAATCATGTGCAATCCAGGCTTTTGGTAGTGAACAATCCCTATTTTTGGTCACTTAAATCCATTTTTCTTGTTGGTGAAACATGTTAAATCACCATTTCTGCTGCCAAAATCACAACTTCTCTTGGTTGAATCACCATGTTTGCCGATGAAATCACCTAATTTTGATGCATTTTGGCTGGCAAATCACATGAGCAGTGTTCAAAACCCCAAGAACGGGATTCCGAAAATGGATTCTGGTGGTGTAACCCCATATCATCATCAAACAACAGGGGTAGATTGCAGCCAACGCTCATTTCAGCAGCTTAAATCTCCTCGTTTTTCCAGGTCAATGACTATTTCCCCAGCCCCCGACACCCGAGGACACACCGGGCCTTGTCCAGCAGCACGTTGCGACCCCTTGGCCCCAGCGTCACGGCGACGGTCTCGGCCAATTTGTCGATGCCCCGCAGCAACTCACGGCACGCTTTGCGCGCGGAGGCGACTGGGGAGCTGCCGGGGAATCTGGAGTTTTGGGTGAAGCTTTTACTTACCCATAGGATCCATGGTGCTGGTATATTTGCTAACATTTGGGGTATATTGATATATATTGATGGTAAATGTTACCATATATAGCATACATGGATCCTATGGGTTAAGATAAGTTACTTTCCAGCAGACCCTTAGGCCATCTGGCCACCTTAGGCCCTATGGCAGCCATGAATATATTACTGGGAAAATAGGATGGCAGCCATTTGGTGAACATATTATGGAAATCTGGGTGAATTATGAATCACCGGATATCACTGGTAATTGCTGGTAATTACCAAGTGTTGTCCAATGGTTTTTTGTTTTTACTCCTAGTTAGAGTAATGTGGAAACCCAACAATATACCATCCCCATATATATATATATATATTATATACACACATATATATATATATACTAGACATATATATATATATAATTATATATATATATCGGTATTCCTGAAATTTGGGTATACCTTCAAAATGTCTATTCTGATTGGAGAATGATTTAATCAACTAGTGGATGGAACGGGGTATCCTATTTTCAGACAAAACCATATCATCGCAATTTGTAAGTTTGTAGAAATAGATGATATAATGATAATCATAAATCAGCAATGTGGGAAACCCCCATAGAAAATCATGGCGATTGGCCGGCGATTTTTTTTTATGCAATTGGTAATTTGTAATTAAATGTAATTAATCACCATTTGAACCAAGATTTTGGCGAAGATTTTCTTGAATTCTTAAGGGTAAAATTCATCTTTGGAAATTGATGACTGCAATGATTTGCCCAATGAAATTGATAAAATTTTCTGATGAATAGTGGGATTATCAGCTAATGACAATTGGGACAATTATGGACATACCCTCTGGTAAACTAACATAACTCTGGAAAATCATCATGTTCAATGGGAAAATCCACTATAAATGGCCATTTTCAATAGCTATGTAAACGTTTACTAGAGGGTATGAATTATGAACAATGGCTGTGCAGACGGAGGTCTGGGGTTAAGTGAGGCGTCTTTTCCAACCATGGACAGAGTCGTTTACGGGAGGTGCTAGATGATTGGGCAGTGTGTCAAAACCTTGTACCCCTGGTGAACATCAAAATAGCTGGCAAATGGATGTTCATCCCACTAAAAATGGTATTAATAGGTATTGATTCATAGCCATTTGCAGGATACTATACGGGCTTTAGTCAGTGCCGTACATACACTCTAGTGATGTCTAGTGTTGCTTCCAATGTATAATGATTCTGATGGTAATTGATGGTGTGTTCGAAGTATTGATGGATTCCACTTAGGATCGGTGGTTTTTGTGTACTCCATAAATAACCCATATTTCATCCCATATAATTCCAGTGGGGAAATTCCATGAATCTAATTGAAGCATTGGCTGAGATTCCACAAATCATTCACACGTTACTTTTCGAAGGATTTTCCATGTTTTTCCATGAAATCAACCATCCAGCTATTGAGGTACCCCCATGGCTTTGGAAAGCTTCAAGTTTGCCACAAGTGGAGGTTTCCTAAGTCATGAGGGGTACCCCCATTTCTCATCCAATTTCAAACAGGATGCTCCATCAAGAGAAAATTCATTTCACAGGGTTTGCGGAATAAAAATTGTTGAGCAGCGCACCTGTTTCCGGCCGTCTTCTCTGTAGAGGATCTTTCGAGCCTGGCTTCTGCAATGCGCGGCAACAATGTGGCACTTACAAACTGAGGTCCCACCAGCTGTAAATTGGTTTACAAATCCCAACAACTATACAATCATCATAAACCAGAGTTTATTGGAGTCATGAAGTGACTTAGCTATTGCAAACGGGGCCCCGTTTATTGTAGCACTTATTTCCATGGAGCATGGGGGCCTAGAGTCCTAGAGCGAAACATGCCTTTGCCTATCCTTTGCAGTGTCTATCGCCAAGCCTTTGCCGCACACGCAGTGCGTCCTCTTGCTATCCTCCAGGGGCAGTCACTGCAGTCACCCCAAAATCATCCCCAAAGTCGGCCTGGTTTGGATCTTGGAGATCTTGGAAGGGGAAATTTGTCATGGCTTGGGGTATCCTGTTGAGAAACGATGAGAAACGCGCATCTGGATATATCTGGATCCGTTGGGACTATATCTTTGGATTCTGATGGATTTTTCTTGGTCAAAACGAGCTATGGAGCCTCAAATGATTGGATATGATTGGTTTCAGAGATCTGAAATCCCATGATTTTGCCAATCAGTTCCAGCCATGGCTCATTTCAATGCGTGGGTAAAAATGAGGTTTACTCAGTACACTCCACTTTTCGGTGAAATCATAGAATCAAATTGCAAACATTGTTGTGCTCTTGGCTCTGGGCCTCTGGAGCCTGGAATTGCGACCCATCTCCAGGGCATGACAGGGCATTGGGTCTGGGTTCATAGATGTTCATAGCTTATCTTCGAAAAGGGCAACGAAGCACGGTTTGAAATCCGTTATCAGCAACCAGGACAAGTTTGTCATGCCATAGAAGAAACGCGGCTACTTGTCACAGCCGTGGCGGAGGGGCAAAAAACAAATGCGACCCGATCCCAGTTTGACAGATACTTGCAACTTTTGATTTAGGCGGTGAAGCCATCCGTATTTACAACTTTTACATACTTTTACCGTGGTTTCGGACTTTCAGAAGAGCTCTACCAATCCATCCCTTTTTTTTTAGGCTACTCAATGCCCCTCGACAGGATCACCTCCTCTGTCTTCGGCCAACCAAAACCTCGAAGCAGCAGGTCGACGAAGCCGATATGGAAAACCAATGAAATGGGTCAATTTTGAATGGCTATTGCTGCTAAATTACAGTACTTTTGATTGAAATTCATCATATCTCGAGTCACTAGTAGCTGGAAGCCATATCCCCAGCCGGTTAATAGCCCCCCAAGATGGACAAGATCGAAGGTTTAACATATGAATGTCCAAAAAAACACTTAAATAAATAAACAAGATCCATACGTATGAATTTGCTAGAGGAACTCTTTAGCAAAATTCGAACACGTTCCCTATATATACATATATATACACACTATATACGTATATCCAAGTAGTGGATTTTCCAGTGGGAACATGAAAAAACATCGGCAAAATACAATCATAGTTGACTTTCCTATTAAAATCTTTGTTTACGTTTACACTGGATAATAATGCATTTTCCTATATTTTCCCATGCTGTTGTCCGTCAAAAAAAAGTCTCCCCTTTCTTGAGTGCCCCCACTGGCGCCACAGCACCAAGGCAAAGTAAGAGGGGCCACCTTGAAGTTGCCTGGTGGCTTCAACCCATGGGACACCCTCGGAAGTAAAAGTTTACATAGCTATGGAATATAATCATCTTTATTGAGATTTAATGAAATTTAATGGAATGTATCCTCTGGTAAACTGATAGTTTGCGAACTGGAAAATCACCATGTCTAATAGGTAAATCAACTATAAATGACCATGTTCCATAGCTATTTGATATAACCAGAGGGGAAATATAGGATCATGGGGTCAGAATGTGGGAACATATGGGGATATTCCGGGGGCATAGTATTCATCCACTATGTATTTCGATTTAACAAGGAAATCCAGGGATAGATATATACCAGACAGTCTATGTATGGAATATTTACCTACATTTACCCCAAAAACGACCCAACATTTGCCCCTACATTTACCTATTTATACATGGAGCATCTGGGTATGGGAACATGATGTGGATGTATATCCAACTTAATCTGAGATATCCATTAAACACCTGTCATGTGGGATGATCATGGGGAAACAAATGTTGAGCTATGGTGAAAATATAACATGGTTGAATCAACCAACTGGAATAGAACTGGTGACAGGAGTCAGCCACAAAAGAGAGTGGAGGACCATAAGGGTAACGATTTGTTGAAGGAAACGATTCCAATAAAGCCCAAAGATGTCAAATATGTCGAGCATCTATCATGGTAAAGCACGAAAAATACCAATGTTTCATAATGTTTCTGCATCTGAGGGCTCAAACACAATTGAAGCAAAACTGTTCCTCCACAAGCCAGACCAGCTTGCAGAACGTTTAGCCAGGGGTTCACCAACATGCGAATGGACACACCTACGAAATAGGGTACATGTATAAGTTAAGGCATTGATGAGAATAATAACCAGCACTGAATGTGAACATGCGAGCAATTCCATTTGGGTCAATAAGCAATCAATGTGAACACAACATACATTCTTGATAATCACATTTTTGATACTCACCCTGTTTTGTCACAATGGATAGAACACATGGTGAAAACACAAAACAAGGCATGCTTCAGCATCGCTCGAAAAATGGTCAGACATGGACCCAACAAATACCAGAAGGTCGATGTTTTCAATGTTTGTAGGTCGATGTTTGTTGTTCAATATATATATATATATATCTCTTCTATAACTGCTACATTGATAATCTGAACGGGCCAGCGAAATGTACAAAAACCATACCCCCAAAAATACATCCAAAGTTCCGATAGTACAAAGATGTAGAAATGATAAAATTCCCACGCTGGTAAACCAGAAACTACCCTCTGGTAAACTAACATAACTATGGGAAATGACCATTTTTAATGGGAAAACTCACTATAAATGGTCATTTTCAATAATTAGCTATGTTAGTTTACCAGAGGGTATCCCCAAGTCACCATTTTGATGAGGATTCAGACCATCCCCAGTCATGGTAGGTTTATGGCAGACAACTTCACGGCCGCCTCCGACTCCGACCTGGCCCTGGCAGAACACGAGAAACCACAACATTTGAGGAGTGCTTTCTCAAAGTCACCAACTTGCATGGCCTTGATTTCCAGAAGAGAGATACTATATATATATATATATTAAATTATATATAATATAAAATCTATATAATATATATTATATAATATATTGTATATACACATGTATTTATATACAGATGTAAACACTATATAAGCATCCTTCAACATCTATATGGATGCAGCCGGCCTGACACCCTCAAAGATACAATAGCCACCCAACAAGAATGAGGCAACATGGGCCCATGGGCCCATGGCTATAAAAACATTTCCCGAGAAGGCTGGATAGAATGACTATCTTAGATGGGCCATGGGATTAGTTATGTTTGTAACTGGGTTATAAGATGTTTTACCCTCTGGTAAACAAACATAGCTATTGAACATGGCCATTTATAGTTGCTTTACCCATTAAAAATTGTGATTTTCCATAGTTTTTTGTATGTTTACAAGAGGGTATATCCCTGGGACCCAGCCTTGCTGCCGCAGTCGACAGCGCGTTGCCGCGCACGCTAAGCGCGTGCGCTGCCGGCGCTGCCGGTGAGGGCACTGGCGCAAGGGTGAAGGCTGGCTGCGCCATGTCCTTGGTGAGGTATGACCAAGTTCTACCCTTGTGGCTATCATTGACCATAGCTTGATGCAACCCTGTAACGCGTAAATCAATGGTGTGAATGTGAACATCAGAAGATATCAGAAGTAACGGGATTTAGGATGATCAACATACATACACACAAATATATAATATATATATAATTATGTACAAACTAAATTGAACCAGAGAGCAAAAAACGGTCCAAACATGTCCGAGCATTGTCATTCCAACAACAGCAGTGGTAGAACCAGTAACACCCCCAGTATTTGTAGATGTCCCTGTAGGAATCCATGGTGGCAATGGAAAATTGGGATTGAATTATGTATACCCAGATGCTCCATGGTGTTGGAATATTTACCTACATTTACCCCAAAAATGGCCCAGTTTTTGTAGGTAAATAGTCCAGCACTAGGCCCGTGCACTCGTCTTCCAAAAGTGAAGCCAGACTCTGGTATCTCTGTTTGGTGTCCTAGGGGCTCCTGAGCCCATATTCATACATATTTGGTGTCCTAGGGGCTCCTGATACTATATTCAAGTATGTCTAATCCCAGATGATGCTATCTTAGGGTCCCCAAGGTTTCCAATGTCCACCTGATCCACGAGTGATGATTTTTTCTGGCACCAATGCCTTTAGCACCTTTGGCGCCTCCATATCTTTGAAGTCCTGCATGTTTTGCAAGACCTCAGAGTGGCTCAAGTTGTGTGTCAATAGTCCTGAATGGCTGACAAAATCAAAGTAACATGGTAATTGAGTGGTGGTGATGGTGATGGTGATGGTGGTGATGATAGTGGTGGTCCATAGTGAAGTGATAAACATCGCAACAACAACTGGAAGCACCAAACATTTTCTGTCAGCTGCCAAAGCCCCTACGTCCAACATCCTATTTCATCGTTCATGCCATTTTCTGGCACCAAAGAGTTCACGGAGTGTCTAAGTTCTTAGATCTTCCTCCCTAGTAAATTGGCCGGCAAAGCCGCATTGCCAGATGATTTGGCTAATGTCCTATGGAAACAAATGGCCGACTTGTGTTGACAAAAATGCACATACCAGGATACCCCAGAATGTGTATAGCTTGAGAAGAATTCCAAATAGTATATAGCCATATACTGTAGATAAGTAAATTGTAAAACCAGTTCCAGGCTCTGTCAAATCACCTTTCAATGCCCACATGCGTTGCAGCCCTTCTTGGGGCATAGCTGCTAGCTGCATAGCTGACATCAAAGCCTAAGCAGCCTAAGGCATGACTGATGTTATTTAATTACGTGCAGCTTCAACGTAAAAGCCATCATCATGATCATGATATCATGATTCCATCAATTCATCATTTGACTAAGTGCCTACAATCTTTGGCGGTCTTAAGTAAAAGCGGTGAGCAATGCTCACCTTGCGTCGTGTCTGAAGAGTTCTTACGATGGAAGCAGGCCAGGGGTCCGATGGTGTTCAACTTGGGCTCCGCTTTTGGTGCTGCTGCTGACCCCGCTGCCTTGCTTTTCTTTGTCTTGAAGCATTCGCCTGGCCTTAGTAAATTTGAGAATGATGAGACTACCCCAAGCCGAGGGACCTGTGGTTGAAATTTCCGGCATACATGTGTTACAATTCATTCAATATCGAAATGATCATCACACTACACCTCACAGGTGTGGCTGGAAAAAAACAAGTCTTGGTTGAACTTAGGATCTAGGCACAAGAGACCTCGACGTAGCATTGCATACTCTGTGTCGCCGATACGCTTCACATAGCAAAAGCCACTTTCGTTTGGCACAAGGACGTGGTATGTGACCTTAAGTTTGTGGGCCCCAAAGTCAATGTGCATGTGCCTGGTCTCGCAATTCAAGCCTGGTTGTTCTTTGTCATCAAGAACTGGTGGAATCATCCAAGCTGGGCAAAACATAGGCGATGAAATCGATGAAAAGTTCTTTCCGGACACCCCAAACTTCATCCCACCTGTAGGGACATGATAAAGGATCAACAATCAACGAACCCCAATGGGGATCCAAGGTGTATCGATGACCAAACATTCCAAACATATATTTATATTATATCATATATCATGGGGTTACAAAACATAGGGTCATGGTGAAGCATATGTCCAGTAAACTAATATGACTAATATGTATATATATATAATGCATGTTACACTTACAGCATATTACTTTACATTGTAAGGCACTATAAGTTTTGAAAAAATGAAACCCCAAACTTCATCGAACAATTTTTGATTCCGAACGTTTCCAATTTCAATGCTACATTTGACCAGTTTGGTCACACCCCCCCCACCGTAGGAAACATTTTCACCATTCGTTTGGGATAGGCAATGAAGTTCCAATGGGATGTTGGTGACCGGTTTCTGCGGACATCGTGGCGCAACCGCCTTTCCCGCAGGTCCGCTCGCATTCTCATCAATGTACTCACCTTCAACCGGTGGACCGGTGGATCAGGACTGCTGTGGTAAATGGACCAATGTGGGTTTTTGAACTTGGGCTTGAAATGATAATGATATGGAATATGAACTCTAACCTAACCCTGATCACATGCATAGTTGAATCAACTATACGGTAATCATACCAGGGACCATACCAGTCATAACATACCATAACATCTCAGACATCAGAGCTGTTTTGGTGATGGGCCCGCTGGGTGTCTTGTCTTAATTCTTGTCTTAGTCTTATGTTGAATTTGTTAATGAAATATGTTAGAATCCAATTCTGAATCAAAGGCAAGTTGCCGATGTCACCAAAGAAGACCAAAGTCAAGTTGGTGGCTTTCCAGTATCGCACATTCTCGTCGACCGGACTGACCATGATTTCATCAGCAGCTGTGAGCTGGTAGAGAATCTCAACATCAAGGCTCACCGCATCAGTTGATTTTCCCTTGGATTCACTCGTCGTGATGTTCAGTGACAGCTTGTCCCAGTTTGCATCGGTGGTTGTCCTGGCACCAGAACAATCGATAGAGTCAGTAGAAAGTGCTGAGTGCTGACTGCAGTCACTATACTGTAGTCAGTAACAACTTCTATCACAATGTTTTTTTGTACTGTGTGTGTGCAGCGTGCGGCGTGAGGAAGCTTTGCACATAGAACATCAAGTGTTCCGAGAACATGTGGACAGTGGACACCGTTTGATCCATGTGAGTTTGTTGATTCGAAATTCAATGTAGCATAAACTGTATATCTGGATGGGGGTCTTAAAAATAATTGAATGAAGTTTGATGAATTGATGATTTCCCAATCAACTAAACCTAGTACTTGTTGTTTGGAAGCGTTTGGTCGTTTGGTTTGGTGTCCTTGCTGCTTCCGTGAGCTTTGCTGAAATCATCCAGCGAAGTTGAAACAGTTGATCGGCGGCCGGTACTAGATCACTCTGGCCAAATTCAGCAAGCTCCTTCACAGAAAACACACTTGGAGATTCCGCGTTGTCTTCTGCCGCCGCATCATCAGGATTGGTGGAACTTGTCTTGCCGGAAAGTTTGATTGCCTCCTTTGTCATTGGTTTCACTTCTGCTTTGGCGAGGATTGCTGGCAGGTCCACGGGGTTTGCTGCTGATGATCGGGCTAGACATTCAAGAGCTTCACTCCACATAGAGCAGAACTCTTGCAATCCGTTGATGGAGCATGAGTCCAGAGTCACCAAGGATGACTGTGTCTCTCTTTCATCAAGACGAGCGAACAGGTTTGCCCACGTTGTGCTTTTGGCGGTCTTTGCACACAAGTCCACCAGCAGCTGGATCATGTATGTTGCTCGCATAGATGAAAGAGGCCTTGCATGCTTGGCCTCAAGCTGGTATTGCTCAAGTCCTGTTGGAGCAGCCCAACCTGCAAACCGGCAAGCCGGCAAATGACCCAATCAATTTGTATGTTGAAAGCTGGCTACTGAAGTTGTGGACCGGTTGATGTCATGGTGGACTGATGGTTGGCATGGCATGTGCTTGATTGACAACTTGATTAGCTTGACTTGGCCTAGTTGAAGGACGAATAAAATGACTGTTCTGTGAATAGTCAACTTGTGAAAAGTCAAACGGTGAGAACAGAAAAGAGCGCACAACAACTTGTGTACGTGACTGTCCGTTATGTGACTGATAGCATGCATGTCTATTTGAACCTGAGTCTAATCCTTTGACAACAAGAACATGTTGAAGTTGATGTTTATGAAAAAGAAACATGTGGAAGAAGAAGATTGAGCTGTACAATAGTCCAGTCCAAGTCCAAGTCCACCCCTTGCCTGAAATACAAGATTCGAGGAATATGTTCACAAAGCATGCCCACGAATCAGAGAAGGTAGAATGCACACATCGACACACTTGATACAGCACATCCTTGAGGTCCGGGTCAGAGCAATGAAACATGCAAGCTGACTGCGCTTGTGATGTTGCAGCACCTGTGGTCGCACTACATGTGCAAGAAGTCAGCTGTGTTGCCTTCAGCTGGCCAAAGGAAGCATGATCTGAAACCCTCAAAGGCTGTGGTGTTGACAAGATCTTTGTTGGCTCATTTCTGAACCAACCGTCCAAGGCAGCCGCAAACCTGATGAGCTTGTCGTTCATGGACACCGTCTTGTCGCTGAACATGACTGCCGGGTCAGAAGTCAACTCTTGTAACTGAGCATGGTCTTGATGAGAGTCGCTTGCACCCGTTTGGATGATTTCGGCCATGTGCTGCTTCAGCACCTGATCGGTCAATGGATGGATGGGTGCATGGATAAATGTATGGATGGAATGAATGGATGACTGGATGGAAACATGATCTGTTTTCCCTATTTGGATCTGCCTGACATGCCTAACATGGTTCACATGTTCACATGTCAATGAGTCAAGTTGTCAAGGCAAGGTCTCGTAAACAAAATGTATACCGAATACCTGCCTAACAAGCACATCAACATCATCATGATCATCGAATCATCACCATATATCATCATCATCCATCCATCATCACTCATCCATCATTCATCATGCATCCATCAAAATCATCATCACCAATATCATCATCATCAACATCATCAACATCATCATCATCATCATCATCAATCAGAATCATCATCATTCATCATCACCAGTATCACATATCATCCTGATGACTCATGACATAGACACACCTCACACCAATTGTGTATTCATGAATGGTTTAATTTCAAACTCTGATCAGCCTGTGTCACAAGATATACGCCATGAGCTTGCAAAGCAGGTCGAAGGAGTGACCACTTGGAATACTTCTTGGTGCCCTTCTTGGTTGTCACGGTGACGTCTCCACAGAAGGCAAAGCGTAACCCCAAACGAATGATGCCGACCTTGGTCTTGTCGAGTGTCTCTGCATCAAGAAAGTTGCCAAACTGCGACTGGAGGCTGCTGACAGTGTGTGACGCGCACTGCATGAGGTCATCGAGCCAGAGTTTGTTGCGCACACCGTATTGGCAGTCAATGGTAGTAACATTCAACCGGGGATCGCTTGGAATGTTCACGTCGGGCTCATTTGCCCCAGCGCCCTGTGCAGCTGATCCTGCAGGGGTTCTCCTGGCTTTGGCCTTGGCCTTGGGTGCATTACCAGAAGCCTTTCGCTTTCGGGTGTTGGTGGCTCCATCGGTCTTGCCCCCAACAGCTGTCACGGATCCATTCATTGCTGTAAACAATCGGTGAACCAATTGTTTCTTCGGCACAGAGTCAAACACCCAAGCCCTGTCATCATCATCCCCCAGTTGTGGAACCTGCATGTGGTTCAGTTTGGATTGCTCCTTCAGAAAACGTAAAATAAATGTCCTGTCAGTGTGTGGTAGCAGCTAGTAGTAGTCGTTGTTGTAACTGGCATAAGGTCTTAATTCAGAAAAGGAAAAGAAAACACTACACACAAACCTAACCCTATACATCCGAGAAACACACAGCTGCAAGCATTCCATGAGTAGTAGATTCACGTCGGACTCAGACATGCCGTCATAGATCGTCTGAATGATCGACGTTGCTACATGTTGCATGCACTGAAGCACCACCGTGTTGGCCAGTCGACCATGCATGAAGTCAACAGTCTGTCCAAACTCGTCCCACATGTTGTCGAAGAAGCTTTGACCACGTTTCGTAACAAGGACTTGGTGACACCCACGTGCACCTTCAAAAAGCCTCCAATCAGGAAAAACCTCCCCAAACTCAGGGTGGGTCTTCACATAGTTTGCACCTGGGCGTAACGTGACTTGTTCACAAGATTCAAGTGTTGAGCATTTGATACTTCGCAGGATGATGCGATGATGTGTATAGGGTTGACCATTTTGATATGATGCAACCAGGAAGATTGATGCACAAAAATATACAGTGCAAAAAGTCTGTAAAGTAAAATATATATATATATAATATATATATATTATATATAGAGTATATTCAATAATATAATACAATAGTGTTCTCTCTTTTGGTCTGGTGGATTGGTTTGTGCTGTGGGTATGTTTCATATTTGGGTATGATGAAAGAATTGCATTTAGTTGATTTAGCTCAGCTCAGCTCAGTTGCATTTGGACTCATAGTTCTCCACCTTCCATGTGAGCCCCTGGTTGTGCTTCCAGACTGCAAGTGCCGTGTCAACCTGAAGGCGGCGAGGACAAACAACTAAACACAAACCATCAACATATCATCATCACCATCGTTGTTATTGTCAGTGTCAGTCATCATCACCATCACCCACCATCACCATCAACCATCAACTTATCAACCATCAATCATCATCATCATCATCAGTCAATCACCAGTGTCGATTTGTCAGCAACAACAGCATGATGATCAACGGAAGCATCGCCGTTACTTAGACTATTCAGAACTCAGACTCGGAGAATGAGTCATAGCATATACCCTACCCGGTCAACTGTCTGTCACACTCACAAACACACACACACCTATATAAAACAGCTATTAATATGATGATGTGTTTTTCATATCTTCCCACACTATGCACCTGCGGCGCGATGCGAATGAGCTCCAGAAAATTTGTGCTGGCGCCGTGGTGGAACTGATTGCGGAGAGTCGTCAGATAACGACAGACCGATGCTGGCGTGCGAATCGACAGCACCCTCGCTTCCATGCCTTTTTTGGCAGTCGCAATCAGGTTCTCGTTGTTGGGCTCCTCAGCGATCGCCGTGTAGTATGCTTCCACCAGGGACGCACATGATAGTAGGAGGTATGGAGCGGGTCGACCATCGTTTTCGGCAGGAGCAATGGCCCAGCATTCACCACGAACTGATTCCACAATTCCCCGAGCTTTCACACTTTTCACGTACTGCATCTTGACCCCTGCTTGGTGTCTGGGATTGTACTCCATATGGCGAGCCAAGTTTTTGGGCTTCTCACTGAATGGGATGTTGTGATTGTTTTCAGTGCCGTCCTTGAAGAAGCGCAATGTTTTCCTTCCTTCACCAACCTGCATCAGATCGTTTCTGGCTATGATGGCCTTCTGGCTTTGGACCATATGAGTGATCAAGTAGAATATGTTAAATGCGTATGAATTCTGAATGCTGGTGCGCGCGTGTATATACATGTTCATGTTCTGTACACTGCTCACAAATGTTTCTCAGAAAACAAACTTTAAAAAATAGATAAAACAATTTGCTAGGCTTGGGAATCATGGCCAGGGAGTTCATACAATGCATGATCATGGATATGGATTGGTATGGATTATTATTGGGTCATCTGTTGGCCGAGACGAGGCATAAGTCGATAATGTATCTTATGTATGTCACTGTCACACTGTCACAAGTCTGAGAACCATCCCATGGCCATGGCTGTCCATGAGAGTTTGATGGTGATGCTGATGTGATGAGAGATTAGTGATGAAGATGGATTGACTGGTTGATTGATTGATGATTCACATATGGTCCAGAACCCTCCCTGAACAGTAAGCCGAACCTGGTACAACTCAAACAGCTTGTCGAGTAGAAGTCGGCCTTTGACTTCTCCTTCAAAAAGCTGCTCCACTGACACATTGGGATTCCAAATGTCAACACCGGGCTTCACTTTGATCGCACTGCCACTGACATTCGGAACCTGAGACGAGCAAGCCATTGTGCAAGACCAGACTAAGATCACACGGTTGGTCGCCACCACAATGCCAAGAACTCACAGGCAAAGTTTCAACGTAAGTCACGTAAGTTCACCACGTCAGACTTTAGCTCAGCCAAAACGGCTGCGATGAATTACAAAGTCGTGTGTGAACCGTGAAGCTTTGGAAATACCACTTTGCTGACTTCAAACATGTTGATTCGTGTCATGTCCATAAATCGATGAACATTTCATGCCCAACTGATAAACATGATTCATGACGGCAGCTGACTCTTGTCATCATGTGTCTGTGACAAGTGACATGGTGTCCCTTTCTGATTCTTCCTTATTGGTCCAGTTGTCCAACTCACCACAAGTCAACGTTGATGGCATTTGGGTTTCCGGACTTGTGAAACTTGCCATGGTCACGGCCTTGGGCAAGCCGAGAAGATCGACGTTGCTATTCATGGTGAGTTGGATGAGGGACTAGCTAACGAATTAAAATAAGATACATAAATAGATGCAAAATATGATATGATATCATTCAAGGATTCATCAAACATACATTGGCGTTCATGTTGGTATCTACTACTGTAGTCTGTGGTCTGTGGTGTCAACTCACTGCACAATTCCTGTTATCATAACTCTTGATTTTCTGAATCTAATTTTGACATAAACTGACATAGACTCGACGATACATTCATTGCGGCCATCTCTCTTGTTTTGGCGATGAGTCTGAGTCGGCGATGACTACAGAATCAAGGTGAAAACATGTGACCGTGACACTGTGCACAATTGTTGGTTCAGTTCACTGATGATTGTGAACATTTGATCATGTTGGCTGCTCGTCCTCTTGACGCTTGCGTTTCTTATCAGCCTTTGGACTCATGGGTTTCGAGGTGGGCGTCAGTGACACATCTCGCCGACGTGCAAACGCCTGTAAACTCATGACATGTGGGTCCATCATGATCTGTGTGAGGATGTACATGAAGGCCATACCACTGATAGTCACGTGCATCGAATTTCCTGCTTGGTGGCACATGGCACGTCGAGAGGATTTTGGGATGGACATGGCAAATCCTCGTTCTTCATGAAGCCTACGCAAGGAAAAACTGTTCACAGCTTTGCCATAGCTGTGCTTCACATCAATCGTGAAGCCTTGTGTTGACAACAGCTCCAGCGGTGTAAGCCATCTCCGATCACGGTGGCTCATGACCAAATTCACTGAAGCGATGAGTGTCATCATTGCCTGAGCCAGCCGCTGTCTTGGTCATGGTAAGAAATGGTAAATGTCTGCATTCGTGATACTGCAAATGATTTGTGTTGTGTCATGTGTCAATAGAAAAATGTATATGTATGTATTCTCACGAATTAAGGGGCCTTTCTGGTTCCAAGACAAATTATTATAAAAGTCCCATTAATTCCGATGTTGTTACATACCCTTGTGTTTGTGTAGATACGTAGGTGTGTAGGTCTATGTGTATATGGTTGTGGTTGCGGTTGTGTTGCATGCAATGCACTGCGTGCATTGTGTCATTATGTGTATAAATACTGTGTTTTGATGCAGTGATGTTGTGATGCACACAATACACACACATTGTGGACAGCACAATCAATCTGCAATGCGTGGTGTCATTTTTTCTAAATTCAGGAGCGAAGATGTTCATTCAGTCCTTCAGTAGTCAATCTTGATGTTTTTTGAAACTATCTCCAATTCGACTCGCTATGTACAAACAAATGGAAATCATTCTTCCATATCACCTCATTGGAAAAAGATAACGATAAGTAGATAAGTCTGAAGTCTTCAGAAGTTGTATGAAGGTCATACATGTCCCAGGTCCCATGTCCAACATGTCATGTCCCATACCCCTGGGCCTTTCCCCGGGCATACATAGGAGTGTGGTCTGGATCTTGATTCAGACTGTAGCAGCTGTCCGGAAATTTATCCATGTATTTCAAGTAGAACTTGTTTTCACACGAAGTAAGACATTCCTCCCAAACAGTGTTGCCATCCACCACATCCCCCAAGCGTGGATCAGACCGTGAAGAAGCATTGAGCTTCCACCGTGACTCTGGCCGTGAGGACCCCCATTCCAATTCTGCTTGAAGGTCTTCGGCATCCTTCCTGAGCAGCACGAGAAGGAACCGGACCAGGGACTTATTTACTACAGTCACTGACAGTCACTACAGTAGCCAAGCACATGCATAGTGATATGGTTTGATGATGTCGAAATCTTACTTCTTTACCATGAATGAATGTATACAGTTCATTTGATTGTATGACTTTGGAAAGAATCAGGCTTCATGTGCAATTTGCAATTCATAACTGATAACTAGCAGTATACTGATGATGATGATGATGATGACTACGACGACGATGATGATGATGATGATGATGATGATGATGATGTTCAAGTTGTCTGTTGCCCCGTTCACCGTTCACCATACTATCATTGTATCATGCCCATAACTGAGGGTGTGTCTTGTTTTCCTCGTCCTGCCACCAATAGATCTGCCAATCACCCATCACATCCTGGAAGAACATCTGGCTGAAGATGTTGAAGATGCTTCTGAATCCCAAGGTTTTCGCTTTGTGTCGTCCCCTGCAGTGGCAATGGCTAGTTTTTCGTTGTGAATGACTGGGGAGCCATGGACATGTTGAATCTAATAAATAAACAAATAAACAAGTATTAAAATAGTATTACAACTGTGTTTAATATAGGCTAAAGAAAGGGAATAAAGAAAGATTAAAGATATTGTTATAAGTTGTTGTTTGTTGCAGGCTGGACACACTGCCCACTGTCTGGTCCGTGATATTGGCCAGCCAAACTGAATGGGTGATAGACATACGAATGTCCAATCGTACATCATGAGCAATTCGGTGAAATTGGATCGGTCAAATGCATCCACGCATTCCTGAACTACTATGGGTTCCTGTAGGGCTAGTCGCATTGCGCACCAAGTCAAGTCAAAAAGTAACAAAAGGGCAAGGACTGCTTGCCCTCCTGAAGCCCCATTTGTGAATCGGCTGTGCATGGAGTGCCGGCTAGATGACACAAAGCACCCACTTCAGGCTGACATTGTTTCCTGTGTATGATGCAATGTGCCTTCATGTTTGCTTTCAGGGCTCGTGATTGCACCACGCTGTCCTTGAGTTTGTTGATGGTGTTTGTATCTTTCATCTTCTGCAAGTCGTTTGCAAGAGCAGGTGTCAAAAAGTCAGCTATGTTCCCAAACAAACATTTGGGTTTGAACGGATGTGCTTGAAGCTCGTTTTGAGCCTGTGAATCCCATTCCTTGATTGGATTGGTTTGGTCACTGAATTGTGAACAGTGATGACTTGTGAACTAATGAAGATACACTGCCATACATTGCTCCAAAAACAAAATTCTTAGCTTGGCTTGACCCAGAAACGATCCCATACAAATGAGATGGGTGATCAATCTCCACTCCAGTAATTTTGGATGCTGCTAACCGAAGCTGGGCGAACGATGTGCCCGGAGAATCAATGCCAGAAAATGCTGATGAATAACTGGTCAGCTCCATTCTTTGGCATAACCGGTGAAGTGTCAACAAATCACTGGTAGGTTCCACATGACTCCACTTGCCATCGAGTGCCACATCATTCATAGAGTCATCGTGGTACTTGGTGTCCAGTGATCTGTATGTTTCCAAGAACCGTTCAGGCCATCCTGAGGCAAAGGTAAGGTAATTGTTCACAAACGTGATGGGAAACCCGATATGCTACATTTGCTACTGCTACAATGAGGGTTGGGTTCCGTCATCAATCATCCCCATCAAAGAAATCAAAACAAAACAAGTATACGTGATCGAAAGACGATGCAATGTGGACAGTATGTCTTTGTTGGCTACATTGTCCGCAGGTGCACCCATGTCACCACCGTCACTGTCTTGAGGAGTTGAATTCCATGGCTCATCTGGAATCGGGCTCGGAGCTATTGAATGAGGCGGCAAATTCCTGGGCTTGGAACGGGACTGATAGATAACATAACTTGACAACATCCACATAACAAAGTACAGCTTCAAAAACATCTAAGACATAGAATAACATAAAATAAATATAGCGAGTATCATGGTACCATCAACATCGTCAGCAGATTGACCGATGTCATCACGAGAACAATGGTCAGTGCTATTGGGAGTGTTGGCATGTTGATCATCATCATGCGCAGATTTCACTGAAACTGCATCACCATCCAAACTCACTGACCCATGTGCCACACCAGTCTCAACGTTGTCAGTGGTCTTTGTGGGATCAACTGCATCAGTGGCATCAACGTGCTCCACAGCTTTCCCATGTGATGAATCCGGTTCAATTGATTCTCGGGGTCCAACGGACGATTCAGACTGTCCAACACCAAAGAAAGCTTTCTTATCTGCGAGTGATCCAGAGCTAGGAGGTATCAACTCAATTTGTGTTTTGCCAAAGCCAGTCCGTAGTTTGATACCAGACACTTCATAAGTGTGGGTCCCCTTTGGTTCAAACTCTTCGAGAACAATGGCATAGAGTTTGCAGCTACCATCAACTTTCATCATTCGTTTAAGATCTTGTAAAGATTTGAAATTCTTCTTGACGTGCGGTGGCATCGACTGGAAATGATCAGATGATCCATCATGAATTGCCAACACTGAAACATTCCTTGCAAAGCCCAGAACCAAGTGTGACTTGTCCTGCTTGGATAGAACTGTCACAAAGGCTGCCTCTGCTGTCGCTCCAAACGAGGCTGCGGGTTTTTGTGTTCTGTAAAGAACAACGGCCCGAGCTGGCGTTCGAGGGATATCATCATGGGGTTGATGTAGTATAGCCCCAACCTCTTCAGGCTTTTGACCACACCATGCAGACTTCATAATGTCTGCACAGTTCATGTGCTGTCTTTTGAGCCATACGTACAGACATACAAACAATAACATAGTGATAATATATCGGTATGCAATCAAATTGGATCACAATGAGATGTGTAGTTGATGAACACAAACCCATATAATAACGATATTGTATTTATTGAAAGATTCGGTCCATTCCATCACCGTCACCCATCAGACTGGGGGTTCGAGCAGACACATCACGGAGCCGTTGTGTTTACAACCTCAGGTACGGATAGCAGGTTCACTGTTACTGCAACAACTGCAACAACACAAACCCAAGTATAATAATGAGATAAAACAAAATAGATACAATTATTTATTGTACATTCTTCAAACGGATAGGTAAGATGGGTATAAGATGGGTGCAAATGTGATAACATATTCAACAACTCATCAACAACAAACTTGTACTTGGACATTTGCCCATGTAAGCCAATAGTTTATATATATATATATATGTGTGTGTGTGTCTGGCTATAATATCGTTAGATTTTTTTGTGATAGTGTCCTACGCTTAGTCCTGAACCAACAGAAATAAATAAACACATACCATTCCACCAAAGCCCAAATTAGATATAGTGCATGTGGGTTTGATAAAGTATTACATGGTGAGTCAATGTTAAAATATCTTAGCTGGACCGGTCTGGAATGATGATGACCTAGGAAGCTAGGCTTACATGGTGTCCTAGGCTCTACTTGGCCTAGGACGGGATGCCCTAGGCTCTAGATGTAGCTTTACTTACCCCTAGGACGGGGTGTCCTAGGCCCTCCTACCCCCTAGGACGGGCTGTCCTAGGCCTCCCTACCCCCTAGGACGGGCTGTCCTAGGCCCTCCTACCTCCTAGGACGGGCTGTCCTAGGCCATCCTACCCCCTAGGACGGGCTGTCCTAGGCCTTCCTGCCCCCTAGGACGGGCTGTCCTAGGCCCTCCTACCCCCCTAGGACGGGGTGTCCTAGGCCCTCCTACCCCCTAGGACGGGCTGCCCTAGGCTCTCCTACCCCTAGGACGGGCTGTCCTAGGCCCTCCTACCCCCTAGGACGGGCTGTCCTAGGCCCTCCTACCCCCTAGGACGGGCTGCCCTAGGCCCTCCTACCCCCTAGGACGGGCTGTCCTAGGCCCTCCTACCTCCCTAGGACGGGCTGTCCTAGGCCTTCCTACCCCCCTAGGACGGGCTGCCCTAGGCCCTCCTACCCCCTAGGACGGGCTGCCCTAGGCCCTCCTCCCCCCTAGGACGGGCTGCCCTAGGCACTCCTACCCCCTAGGACGGGCTGTCCTAGGCCTTCCTACTTCCCTAGGCCCTCCTACCCCCTAGGACGGGCTGTCCTAGGCCCTCCTACCTCCTAGGACGGGGTGTCCTAGGC